AATAAATATCTTATAATTCACACAATAATGTAATGAATGCTATGATTAAAGCCGAGACCAACGCATAGAAAAACACGTGAATATCAATGAGTTTTAATGTTTGAAATGTTGACGTATTTGTTGTGTCCATCCATTCATTTAAATAACTATAATTATGTAATGGTTTTATTCTTCAATCTTTTTAAAAATTCTGTTAATTAACAACAATTTTACAAATTCCGTAATAAATTATTACTAATAATATAAGAAATAAATAGATTCGTATCGTAAAATACGCTCAAACATTGATCGGTACCATAAGAAACTGGAAGTGGTTTCACACCTTTAATAACATTAAAATCAATAAAAATTATTTGAGATCTAATTTATCACAAAAAATTAAATTACAATTAAGAAAATTATTGTATTAAATAAATAACAATAAACAAAAATTAGTTCAATACATTTTATTATCTAACATAAACATAACAACCAATAACTCACAGCATAATCAATAATATCTCAGCGCAAGTACTTGTCGACCGCTGTCCGCAAATCGCACGGTTTGGTCCGATCCGTCAAATCGACCTCCATTTGCCTCAAGAGTGTCAGATCGAGTCCCGCGTTGTTTTCGTAGTATTTGCCAACCATTTCGAGCACTCGTCTCAACAAAACGCCCAGTTTTCGGACGTCAGCCGTAACTCTATCGTCGTGTTGGGAGGCGTCGCGCGACTCCACGAACGACCAGTGCGTTCGGCTCACGGCCTCACCGAAGTCCGACCATTTGGCCACTATTTGGCCGCCGCTTTGGCTGAACAGCAATACATTACGCCAATGGACGTCGCAGTGACAAATGCCCTTAGAGTGAAAGTACAACATTCCTGTATACAAATACACATGTAATTAATTATAACAATTATAATGCATTTTAAATTAATTATGATAGCATACCGGAGCACATGTGTCGCATAAAGTCCAGGGCGAGAGTGTCGGTGAGTTTCTTCCCGTGACCAAAGTCCATGAGTGAGCCGCAGTCGGCCAACTCCATGATTAGAAGCGTGCGATCATAGCTAACAAAGTCGTGGGGCCGGTAGTCCTGCAGCTCATGTGCGCTCATCGATAGGAAATCGGGCGACGGATTGGTGGCGGCGACCGATGCCCTGACAACCGATCGCTGGCCAAAGCTTACGGCCAGTTTGTAGGACACAATGTACGGGTGATCGGCCAACACTTTCATACAGTGTTTCTCCACCTCGTAGGCCAACCGCCGTTTGGGCGCCGACTGACTGACCGTAAACTCCATAAACTTACCCGCGTAGGGCTGACCCACAGTCACGCCCCGCATATATTTGGCCGCATTGCCGCCAATCCGCGTGAATTTACTGTTAAACCGGACCCGATATACCTCCCCATAAGACCCGTCGCCCAGTGTCTCCCCTCTGTGAAAGTTCCGGACGAGCGGGAACTCCATCTCTATTCCAAACTGACGCAATTTATACAAATCCCTTACCGTCCGGTCCCGGAGAGTGTGCATCCGTCTGAACGCCCGGCCACTAAACACTTTGGCCAACCCGTGGCCCAAACCCGACCCAAAGACTGTGCGATCGCTACTCATGTGTGCCTCACCAGAAGAACCGCCGGGCGATGGCCTAGCCATTAGTGGCCTGTACTCAGTGGCCACTCGAGTGGGTACGGCTGCCCGCGGTGTGGATGTGGTGTCTGTTAGTCTACCCGTTGGCCGCCTGTACTCAGACATGTTTGTCTGATTGAGTTTTGCAGACGGTGTCGAGAGATTTAAAATATATTATCCCTACTTATCCCTGTATTATAACTATTGTTAATAAATTTAAAAATACGGTAAAAATTTGAAATATATTTTATATTTAAAAATCATTAGAGAATTAAAAATTTCATTAATTTAGTTCATTTAACAAAAATAATTTTGAAAATATAATTTATATAAATCAAAATTTTAAAATAAATAGTTAATGATTTAAAACATAACTGTGTTTCAAAGTTTGTTAATCAAAATTCATGCGGACATTAGCTGCCAGGTGTCCGCCATCGGCCACCATAATAGTGCCCGTAATAAAACTAGCATGGTTACTGGCCAGGTAGGCAACAGTGTTGGCGATATCTAACGGCTCTCCACACCGGCCCACAGGGTATTGGCTCTTCACCCGTTCCCATAGGCTTTGAGTTTGTTGTTCAGTCATTTTGCTGTCGCGGATGATTGCTGTGCGAATAGCACCCGGACTATGCAAATAGTGACCATGATCAATTATTGATTAAAGTTATTTCACGTATATGATAATAATAATTATTTAAACAAGATATAAATACTTGACTGAATTAACACCTATGCCTTTTGGGCCCAAATCAACGGCAATACATTTGGTGAACATATCCAGAGCTGCTTTAGACATGTGATACGGAGATATGCCTCCACTCTAATGT